AGGCACAAAAACAATAATAAATGTTGAAATAGGTCATGCACAAAGAGATTAATATCATATGTTCTCACTCATATGTGGGAGCTAAAAAAATCCTGAGCTCATAGAAATAGAGTATGATTGTGGTTGGAAAAGGTAGAGAAACGAGAGAGTAGAGAAAGACCGATTAATGAATACAAAATTATACTTGGTTAGGAGGCATAAGTTCTAGTGTTTTCTACCATTGTAGGTAAACACGGTCAACAGGAAGTTTATTGTATACTTTCAACAAGCTAAAAAATGGGATTTTAAATGTTCACAACACATAAATGTCTGAGATGATGAATATGCTAATTATCTGATTTGACCATTACACACTGTATGTATCAAAATATCACTCTGTATCCCATAAAGAGGTATGATTATTATGTGTCAACTAAATATAAAACGAAAATAACATTCTAATGTATGAAACTTAATCAGACAAAAAACTAAATTTCCATTCTAAATAAGTAAAATTACAGCATTATTCATAATTAATACTGCCAAAGCTAAAGAATGAGTAGAAAATACCTGACCCTGCCAACTTAATTTGATTTTCCTGCCATGCCATATGGATTTCTAATTTGGACTATACTATTGAATGAGGTGAAAGAAAAAACAAACACAAGAAAATAATCTGATGGTCTCACAGCAATATAATTGAAATGTTTTGAATAGTTTCCATTTTATTTCAAAATTTACAAGAACCCTGAAACAGACTTAATTTTTTGACAATGGCATGGCAATTTGCAGAGATATTGCTACAATTATTATTTGCATATATGAATGTGACAGAAAAAAGCAATTCACAAGGCAATTCTATACAAGTTGCTGAGATTCTCTCTGCATACCTCAACACATTGTAAAGACTAATTTTTCTAAAATTCCCCTTTGCTCAAAATCCTTTTGTGTTAAATGGATATTAAATATAAGTGAGCAGAGCAAACAACAGTTATAAGGTCCAAGTTTCCTTAATGATGTTAAGTTTTTATCTACATTTAAGAAGACCACATCTATGGTCCACCTTACGAGGGTACATGTGAATCTTTCTAAATGTAGAATATAAATGCCTTAACACAATAACTAAGAAAGTGCCATGAAGGCTATGTTAACCAGTTTGGTGAAAATATTTCAAATTGTATATAAAACCAGCACACTGTACCCCTTGACTGCATTAATGTACACAGCTATGATTTAATAAAAAATAAAAATAATTTTTAAAACATAATAGAAATGAACTGTTGAATCAAAGAGGTATTCTGGTGTCAAAGGAAAAGGACAGAATGAGGGCGGTGCCTATGGCTCAGTGGGTAGGGTGCCAGCCCCATATACTGAGAGTGGTGGGTTTAAACCCGGCCCCGGCCAAACTGCAACAAAAAAATAGCTGGGAGTTGTGGCAGGCACCTACAATCCCAGCTACTTGGAGGCTGAGGCAAGAGAACCACCTAAGCCCAGGAGTTGGAAGTTGCTGTGAGCTGTGACGCTACGACACTCTACTTCTACCAAAGGTGATAAAGTGAGACTGTCTCTAAAAAAAAAGAAAAGAAAAAGATAGAACGAGAAATAGAACTCATATTTAAGATTTCATGCTTATCAAGCAGAAGACTGGACCAGATGAATTTAAGGCCCCCTTCCAGTTCTAAATTTCTATGACTATTCCAGAGACAGAATTAAAAAAAAAAAAATTTCAAAGATATTACATACTTTATATATACAGTTTTTCTCTTGTCTATTAAAATTGGTTATTGATCAATATGACCTATAGTTAAAACTGGAACAATGATGCAAGAGTATAACTACACAAATAGTCCTAAGGAATTAATTAAGGAGGTTCACTGGTCTAAAAAAATCAGTAGATGATATAATTTAAACTAATTCAACATTATAAGGCCTACTGTTTGAGTCTATAAAATAAATGGAAAAATAATCAGAGAACTCTGTAACAAAAACAGAACGTTTCTTAGAATTGAAGCTCTATCATTAGAGTTTGAGTGGCAGCCTTACCTCTTACAAGATGTATGAAGATACAAAACTTCTTTGACCTTTTTGACCTTCAATTTTCTTTTCCAAAAAATGTAAATAAAAATAGAATCTACCCTCCCAAAGTTGTTATGAAGATCAAGTGTGTGGCTCATAGTAAATGATCAATAAAACTTAGTTAAATACATAATACAGAAAAGAAAGTTTAGCTACAGAAGAGTTTTTAAAATTCTTTTAGCCATCTACTACCTCAATTCTCTTTTCATTCTAAGGAAAACACCTCGACTCCCTTCAAACTAAAACAAAGTAAACAATAATACTATATACAAACAAACATGGGGAAGGGGTGTAGATGGAAGAAAGGCAAGGGAGATTTATAGATTTGTATAAGTATGTTTCTGCTTTAACTTGTTCATAGTCATTTCTCCTTTTATAATTCACCAAAGAACCTAGACTCCCATTATTTATAGCCAGGTTTTGCACTGTGGAAACACAATGCCTAGCAATGTATTATTTATATTAATATTTAATAAAAACTTGGAATTGAATGTTATCATAAAGAATTGTGTCTTAATTGTTTTCATTTTTTAGGGATAGAGTACTAAGATTCAAATGAATTCAATAACTTTGGCAATTTAAGTGACTACCTTCATACCCTGAACCACATATTAAGCACTGCCAAAAATCCAAATAAATTTTTTTTTTTTTTTTTTTTTTGTTAATTTAGGAGAGGGTATAACAGATTCAAGCAGGTCTCCTCGTGTTTCAGCTTGTTTATTGTTTTTACACTTGCTAGCCTTGGTTGATCTGAACTGAATCTCTGTACCACAGTGACAATTACCAGACTTCATTCTTTTTACAATTATCACTCTATGCCATATTTAGCCCTGTATTTCCTTTCCCTCACATGCATTTCCCACATTTTGAAAACACTTTTATGACAGAAATTTCACACTTTAAAACAGTAATCTTCATTGCCAATTGTTAATGCTTTAAGTAGAAAGCTCTTAGTACTCGCTAGAATGAAAAAGTTACATTAAAGGCTCATATTAAGAACCAACTGGCTATTTGTTTCTGTGTCTGACCTAGCTCAACAAGAGAAAGGCTGAGCTATAACTAGCTCATCTAATCCCCTTTCACACATCTGAACTATGTTTTATTTCTGATTCCCTAAGGAATCTCTGATTCCTGAAGAAGTTTAAGCTGTATAAGCTTGTTTGGAGCAACTCTCAGTAAGTTCTTATTCTGGAATCAAAACTTCTTATCTCTCAACCTGAAATTTCAAAGAAAATACTAAGCAAGACAATATTTCAATTACTTACAAAACATTTCCTTTATTGTTTCTTTTAGAAATACAAAACTATGCAACTCCTTTTGTCCTAAAAATTACTTATTACGAACTGCTTGAGGGAGAAGAAAATTCATGTATTCCAATGAACTCTACCTGTGTTAAAAAGGGTTGGAATTTCAAAAAGAATGTATCCCTGATTTTACGTCTTTGCTATGTCTCTCATTTAGGAAAAAATAACACAGATATATTCCGAAGTTCTTCATTTTTTATAATTTTCTCAATTCCCTTTTCACTTAATAAAATTTACAGAATGATTACTCTTTATCAGGCATTGTATTACACATGGGAGAGAGATAAATGAGTAAGAATCAGCAACGCCCTCAAAGATTACAAAATCTAGTGACATGGTAGGCCTAGTGTTAAACCTGTAAAGACAGCATTACCAGAATATAAAGCAGCCATTCAGCTAGCAGAACAGAAGAAATTTTTTTTTGCAGTTTTTGGCCGGGGCTGGGTTTGAACTCACCACCTCCTCTGGCATATGGGGCCAGCGCCCTACTCCTTTGAGCCACAGGGAAACCGTAAGAAGAGAAGAAATTTTAAGGAAGAGCTAAGATCTCAATTAAAATTGAATATAAGGTTTTTAAGTTCCAAACAAGTTAACTGCATGTGCAGTAATAAGAGACAATACAGAGTATAGGAAGGTTAATGTTAATAGTTTGGTATGATTGGAGTGAAAGACCCAGAAAGCTAAATCTTTTCATCAGGGTCTAACCATGATTCTGCTATTTACAGGACTGTTTTAACCTACCTGAAAATTTAATTCTCTATCTTTAACATCAGGATAATAATGGCTGCCATTAGTGTTCTTTGAAAACTAAATAAAATAATTATTAACAAGTACATGCTGCAGTGCCTAGAATTTACTGAGCACACACTCATGAAGACAATACATGTCACCCATTATGCTTGGTCCTTGACTAGTTGGAGTCACTAAGGGAGAAAGAAATGAAGGTGATGCCAATATCTCAGTTGAGTTACTGGCTGGATGAAATACAATTCACCATGATAGGGAATCCATGAAAAGAAACAGGTTGGTGTGAAGTGGAAAACAATCAAGTCAATTTTAGATTTGTTAAACTGGAATATTTGTGGGACACTGCAGTAAAAATTCTCAGTAAGCAGCAGGAAATACAATGAAAACCAAGAGAGAAATAGCTACAAAGAAAAACAGGAGAGAATAACATCACAGGAGTTAAGAAAAAAAAACATTTTATAAAGTAAGGGACAATAAACTATTATAAATAACAGACTGTACAAATAAAGACTAAACTTCATAACTAATAGGCTTGCAATGAATTCAAAAATTCAGCGTAGGAGTGACCATACATCAGTGGAAGCAAATGCAGTCACTGGGGAAGCAGGGACTATTCTTTTTCTTCTCTAGTCTTCTAAAATATAGATGTGGTCCGGAGAGCTAGGCTTGAGTATTTTTTATTATAGAAGAAAGCTGAATGTTTTAAAAATCCCTACAGGAAGACTGGACACAAAAGAAAACACTTAAGACTTCTGAAAAAAATTAATGGGGTGTGTGAAGTGGGTAGAAGGACCTATAGCACAAAAAGTAAAATCAAGTCTGGTAAGTAAGAAAGACACTTCATCCTCTAATATAAGAGGAATGGATAATGAGTGGGGGTATAAAGTAACTTACAATAAGAAGAGGAAGGAAGTAGAGGAAATTTCTTGTAAGTGATCTGTTAGTGGAAATGGAAGTGAAGGCCTTAGAAATCAAGAGTTCACACGGTACATCTGGAAAAGCTACAGAAAAAAGCAGAGAAGATACACTGATGGATCTGAGTTTGGATGATTCAATTCTGCCTCATTCTCCTTTTTATCTGAAACTCCACAGCCCTTGGCACATTTTACAATGAATCTGAGATTTGCTATTTTAACACTTGCTAGCTTTGTTCCCGGCTCTCTTCTCCTTGACCTTCCTGTTGCCCTCTTTATAACTTCGCAATTTTACAGGGCTGGCACTTGATGTATCTTCATACAAGCCTGGTAAAAGGAAGCTCATTTTTCTCAGAGTTCATAACAACTCTGACAAAACTTTATGTCTACTTTTAAATTTCAATTAAAATTATTTTCCTTGCCACTAATTTATGTCTCCTACTATATTTCTTAACCCTGAAAAACATTTCCCAGACATTGCATCGAAGTCACTTTTTGCAGACTCAGAGAAGTGAGTAAAATAAACAGTAGGTTTATAACTGTCTTTTTTACTTTGTTATACTTTTAAACATCCCCAACTTATGATCGATCATTCTGCTTCTTCAAATAGCCTTGAGTTGTTCTTCCGTTACTACTACTTCATCACCATTTACCCATTAAAACTCAGATGTTCAGTAAACTAAATTTGTCAATTAGCTGTAAAGTAATATTAAATTTTTTCAGTATTAAAATGTGATTCTGGCTCGGCACCTGTAGCTCAAGCAGCTAAGGCGCCAGCCACATACACCAGAGCTGGTGGGTTCAAATCCAGCTCGGGCCTGCCAAACAACAATTTAAACTACAACCAAAAAATAGCCAGGTGCTGTGGCGGGTGCCTGTAGTCTCAGCTACTCGGGAGGCTGAGGCAAGAGAATTGCTTAAGCCCAGGAGTTGGAGGTTGCTGTGAGCTGTGACGCCAAGGCATTCTACCCAGGGCAACAGCTTGGGGTTCTGTTTCAAAAAAAAAAATTTTTTTTGATTCTTTTGAAATGTATCTTATCCTTAAGACTACAAAATCAACTAGTTAGAATGGAACTATCTGAACAGATGAATGTTCCCTCATGGCTTGGCTTTTATATCTATATCTATCTATATAGAGATAAATACTTTGGCCAAAAATTAGAAATCTTTTATGAGCAATACCTAATTTTAAATCAGTTTCCTAAAGCAGGGGTTGACAAACTAAGACCCACCTGTCCTGTTAACTGTTTCTGTCAATAAAGTTTTGGAATAGTCTTGTTTATTCTCTTATACATCATCTATAGCTGCTTTGGTGCTGAAGTGGCAGAGCTGAGGAGTTGTGACGGAGACTGTGTGGCCCACAAAGCTAAAAATATTTACCATCTGGCCCCTTACAGAAAGTCTTCTGATTATTTGTCTAAAGCCTTCCTATTCAAGTAGGCCAAGAACCAGCAATTATCAGCATCACCTGGGAATTTCTGAGAAATTCAGAATCTCAGACCTCACCCGACATACTGATTCAAACTCTTTATATTTAGCTAGCTAAAAGGCTTAAAGTATATGTGATGTTCACTAATTTGGCAATTAGCAAAGAGATTTAAAAATAGATCATCTCTGTAAAATTTTTAGTTAATAGAATTCTAGGTCTACATCTCACCAATTACTTTTTATGTGAAAGCTTCGAAGTTACTGTATTAAAGAAAAATATATATAAATTGAACAAATGGTTATAAAACCTGTTTTACTGTAATATCATGTTCCTAAATAGTAGATGTTATGACTTCTTAATAATTTTCTATGACAAGGACAAAAATTTCTCCCCCCTCTCATTTATATACATACACCACACACTGCTGGGACAATGGCTAAAAATTGGTGCATTGTATATATGTACATCCATATGTATATACTTAATGTTGAACTACACTGCATCATTGTTAAAAGTACATAAAAGATGATAGTGACTATTTTGAGCATTTGTTCCATTGTTCTACTGGCCTTATAATTAATTTAATAATTTGCACTATAAGTATTAGTTAATAGAGTCCTCCGTTTTAACAAAGTATAATCTATACAAAAGTAAGCTAT